ACCCACAAATCCAGCAATACGGCGAAGTGAACCAGCTGGGCGGCGTTTTCGTGAATGGGCGGCCGCTGCCCAACCACGTGCGCATGCGTATCGTAGAACTGGCGCAGCTGGGCATCAGACCTTGTGACATTTCGAGGCAGCTGAGGGTGTCCCACGGATGCGTCTCCAAGATCCTGGCCAGGTGAGTTCTAGGAGATAAGAGATAAGGCGGATGATGAGAGACAGATAAGGCGGATGATGAGAGACAGATAAGGCGGATGATAAGAGACAGATAAGGCGGATGGTGAGAGACAGATAAGGCGGATGATGAGAGACAGATAAGGCGGATGGTGAGAGACAGATAAGGCGGATGATGAGAGACAGATAAGGCGGATGATGAGAGACAGATAAGGCGGATGATGAGAGACAGATAAGGCGGATGGTGAGAGACAGATAAGGCGGATGATGAGAGACAGATAAGGCGGATGGTGAGAGACAGATAAGGCGGATGATGAGAGACAGATAATGCGGATGATGAGAGACAGATAAGCCTGATGATGATAAGAGACATAAGGGGGATGATGATAAGAGACAGATAAGGCGGATGATGATGAGAGACAGATAAGCCTGATGATAAGAGACATAAGGGGGATGATAAGATAGATGAGTGATTTGAGATAAATATGAAAATTACGGATAGATAGATAAATAGAGAGATAGATAGAGAGAGATTGACATAACCTGCAACCAGATACAAATCACACTCAGATTAAAACATAAAAGTAACGAATAAAACAGGCATACGGACAATGAATAAATAAATAGATAGATAAATAAATACATAAATAAATAGATAAATACATAAATAAATAAATACATAAATAAATAAATAAATACATAAATAAATAAATAAATAAAACAAATGAATAAACAAATGAATAAATAAATAAATAAATAAACAAATAAATAAACAAACAAATAAATAAATAGATCAATAAATAAATAAATGAATAAATAAATAGATAAACAAACAAATAAATAAATAAATAAATAAATAGATAAATAAATAAATAAATGCAACAGGACGCCCTTCTAACCACCGCTCTTTCTTCCCTCCTTCGTCGCCTCCCACAGATACAACGAGACGGGCTCCATCCTCCCAGGCGCCATCGGGGGCTCCAAACCCAGGGTCACGACGCCCAAGGTGGTCAACTACATCAAGGACCTGAAGCAGAAGGACCCCGGCATCTTCGCGTGGGAGATCAGGGAGAGACTCCTGAAGGATGGCGTCTGTGACAAGTATAACGTGCCGAGTGTCAGTTCTATCTCCAGGTAAGGAGGGAAGGGGGGGTTGGGGGGGTGGTGGTGGTGTGGAGTGTGGTGGGTGTGGGGTGTTAAGTGTGGGGTGTCTTGTGGGTGTGTTCAGTGTGGGGTGTCTTGTGGGTGTGTTCAGTGTGGGGTGTCTTGTGGGTGTGTTCAGTGTGGGTGTGTTCAGTGTGGGTGTGTTCAGTGTGGGGTGTCTTGTGGGTGTGGTCAGTGTGGGGTGTCTTGTGGGTGTGTTCAGTGGGGGGTCTCTTATGGGTGTGTGAAGTGTGGTGTGTTAAGTGTGGAGTGTCTTGTGGGTGTGTTCAGTGGGGGGTGTTAAGTGTGGAGTGTCTTGTGGGTGTGGTCAGTGTGGGTGTCTTGTGGGTATGTTCAGTGTGGGGTGTCTCATGGGTGTGTGAAGTGTGGTGTGTTAAGTGTGGGGTGTCTTGTGGGTGTGTTCAGTGTGGGGTGTCTTGTGGGTGTGTTCAGTGTGGGTGTGTTCAGTGTGGGGTGTCTTGTGGGTGTGTTCAGTGTGATGTGTTCAGTGTGGGGTGTCTTACGTGGTGAGTGTGATGTGTTAAGTGTGGTGTGTCTTATGGGTGTGATGTGTTAAGTGTGTCGAGTATTACAAGTGCGTTAAGTGTTCTCTTCTCACTTAAGGAGTGGTGGGCACTTTATTAAGTATGGCGAGTGTGAGTGTGAGTGTGATGTGGTATTTCCACGTAAGGAGAGGGAGGAGGGGTAGTGGTCACCGGAATAAATGCAGAATGGAATAGGATATTGGATACAGAAAGATGCCATTACTGGGTCTCCTTACATCTATTTTACTATCTATCTCACATCTATTTACATACTTGCAGGATAAATTTGATCTATTCGTAAGCCAATCTTCCAGTAATTTAGTGTTTGTAGGTGAGATCATATTAGCAAGATATAGGATATTTACAAACTGAATTATATAGGACATGAAGGATCTATTGATATACTGAATTTACTAATAAGATGAACGTGATCTACTTTTATGGCATACTTTTTGATATATCTATTGCAAGACTATATTTACGGGTTATATTTATAGGATATACTCTGCTAAGAATAATGAGAATAATGTATCATATTTTTAGCTATACTAGACTGTTGTTTCAATACTGCATTCATATTTTTCATTTATTTTCGTCTTTCTCCTAATTTCTTAACTTTGTCTATTTCCTTTCCTTCGATATTTTGGGACTATAATTATAGATCTTTATTATCATTGATATTATTATTATTATCCTTGTTATTATCATTATTATTACTATTGCTATTATCATCATCATTATTATTATTATCATTATCATTTTTTAAAGTTATTATTATTACTATTTTTATAACTATTATTATTATTGTTATCATTATTATTATCATTATTTTTTTATTATCATTATTACTATTTCTATTATTGTTATTATTATTGTCCTTCACATTCTTCTTCTTATTATTATTATTATTACTATTATATTCATCATTATCATTGTTATTATAATTGTTATTTCTATTAACATTATTAATACCACTATCATTGTTATCAATATTTTTGTTGTTATTTTATTATTATTGTTATTATTATCATTATCATTATCATTATTATTGTTATTATTATTATTATTATTGTTATCATTATTATTATTATCATTATTATTATTATCATTATTATCATTATCATTATTTTTTATTATTATTATTATTATTATTATTGTTACTATCATTATCATTGCATTGATAAGTTGCTTAAATAACTTCCTTAATATCTCCAGTGGTTATACACATGTGTGTGCTTTAGATCATAATATAACTATAATTATAATTTATGAATTTGTGATTGAATACTGTAGTCGATTTTCCTTTCTTTGCACGCCTCGCCAGGACTCGGCGCCCCTCTAAGGTATGGCCAGCGAGTCGCCTGTTCTGTGCTCAGATATGTGGTCGAAATAAAGGACGACGCGACCGCCGCCTCGAACCTGCAGGACCGAGACGCCCTTTTTCTGAGCCTTTACTTCTCTCTCCCGCAGGATCCTGAGGAACAAGATCGGGTCGCTGCACCACCTGGGGTCGCAGAGCCCCTACGACGTGAAGCACCCCGCCTCCTCGCTCTACAACTCGCTCTACCCGGCGGCCGCAGCCTACACCGCCGCCGCCGCAGCCTACTCCTCCATGGCGCCGCCCGCGGCCATGCAGCAGGGCTCCGCTCAGGTCCCGTCGGCGCCCGTCCCGCCCACGAGCGCCGCCGCCTCCGGCGCGGGCGGCGTGAAGGCGGCCACCACGCCCTCGCCGCCGGTGTCGGGCGCCACGTGCGGCATGGGCGGCATGCGGCCCCACTGGCCGTCGTCGCACACGGTGTCCGACCTGCTGGGCCACGTCAACATGGCCGCCGCCGGCCTGCCGCGCCACCACCCGATGCAGGACGCCAACAGCTACAACTACTACATGTACTTCCAGTCGTGCGGGCCGCAGAACAACTCGCTGGCGCACAACGGCCTGCCCAACCACCTGTCCTCGTCGCTGGCCAACGGCTTCTCCAGCCCGCTCGCCAACCCGCTCTCCAACGGCCTCCCCAACGGCCTCTCCAGCGGCCTGGCCAACGGCCTCTCCAACGGCCTCTCCAACGGCCTCCAGAACGGCTTCGGGAACCCGCTCAGCTCCATGATGAGCGGCTCGGCGCTCACGCCGCAGACCGCCACACTCTAATGCAGGCGCCCGCCCGCTCTCTCACGCCCTCACCTCCAAACTTCAAGCACCAATTAACCACTCACGCCACGCCCTTCCCTTGTTCCCCCAAAGACGGAAGTGACAAACGCCAAACGAAAGGAAAAAAGAAACAGACGAGAAAATCCTCTCGGTGTTCGAAAAATCCGAACCACAACAGACGAGCGAACAAAGCGCCGGCAGTGCTTCGAGTGCGCCCCAAACGTCTTAATTCGGTCCAGGTGGCGCTGCCGTGCACTGCACCCCCCCCCCCTCCCAAGCTGGTACACAAGGCATGCTCAGACGGTACACTTACATGCTTAACTAGCTTTTAAAACGGAAAGTAACAAAAGTGTCGATCCTTCGCGAGTGATTGCTTTATGTGACGGAAACAATGAACAAAGGTCGACCGTGGAAAAGGTGTTTTCTCGCTTAATACAACTATTTGGGACAAGAACTTCTGTTTGTTATAGAAATGAATCCAGTCTCCTACCTCTAACAGTGTTACTTCATCCAGGATGTTCGTTCCTGGTGAGTGTTGTGTACATATACATATGTATATATATATTGTAAATGTGTGTCATGTTTCATTATTCTTGTTAGTTGTTAAGAAGCGAAAATGTTTGTGTACCTTACTGTTTTTTTCATCTTAGTGTACGAATGAGGGAGAGAGAGAGAGAGAGAGAGAGAGAGAGAGAGAGAGAGAGAGAGAGAGAGAGAGAGAGAGAGAGAGAGAGAATTATCATCTGACCAAATAGATTAGGAATTCACAATGTACACGTCATTCATACCATCAAGAGTACATTGCGTCATACGTCATGCAGATATTATGTCAAATGTCCACGTATGTATGTGTGTGTGTGTGTGTGCGTGTATGCGTGTGTATGTGTGTGTGTGTGTGTTTGTGATGTGATGCTGCCTTGCTTAGTTAGCTTTATTACATTTATCATAATTAAACATTAGCATATTGCAAAACAAAAAATAAAAACGAA